TACAAAAAACCCTTTATCCTGTTCTTAAAAGAAGATAAAGAGGGAGCTTGCTTGGCCTCGCGGCTGAGATCATTCCAGATTTTTGCTCCACGAAATGCGAACTCCAGATTTTTGCTCCACGAAAGTCCATTACTAGTTTTCATGAATGGCACTAGCAAGTCAGTTTCGGCATTTCTAAGGTTGATACAATTGCGTTCAGAATTTCTAACAAATAAATTCGAGAGATAATCAGGCGCGAGACCATTAACAGATTTATAAACAGTTGTTGCAGTCTCACTTCTGATCATATCCCTTACAGTTGGCCATCTTAACTCTGTAATCAAAGCTTCAGCAGGAGCATCGTAGCTGCTATTTGTAATAATTCTAGCGGCTCGATTCTGCAATTTTTGAAGCTTAACCAGTCGGAACTCTGCACAGCTCCCCCACACAGTACAGCAGTACCGAAAATGTGGCTCTACAATACCTCTATATAATTTGCAAAGTACATTTTTTGGCAAAAATTTCTTTGCATATTTTAAAAAACCTAACGAGCGGGAGACTTTGGCTTGAACAGATTTAATTTGCTCGTCCCACACGAGGTATTGGTCAACTTGGACACCAAGATACTTAATACTGTCGACAATTTCTACAGGGGAATCATCGATAACGAATGCAGGTGAACCCACAGTGTTTTCACCAATCTTTTTCAGATTTGGTCTAGATCCAATTACCATTGCCTGAGTCTTGGTTACATTCAAAGACAATTTATTGCCCTGAAGCCATTCTTTCAAACATTTCAATTCGTTGTTGAGCGTTTCAGTTAGATCGTCAATGCTCTTAGAGGAATAGGATATGCTAGTATCGTCGGCGTACATCGTAACTTTGCAGTTTTTCAAGGCGAATGGCAGATCATTTATATAGATTAGGAAGAGTAGTGGACCTAAACAAGAACCTTGTGGGACACCACAGTTGATGCTTCCGATGTCAGATTGCACTCCATTAACCTTAGTGAATTGCTGCCTACTGCTAAGATATGATTTGAACCATTGAAGCTCAAGACCCTGAATTCCGTACTTAGATAGCTTTTGAATAAGTATGGCATGATCAACAGTATCAAAAGCCTTTTTCAAATCAATGAAAATATTTCCTGTAAATTTTCCACGCTCAATATTAATGTGCCAGTCATTAGTGCCAGAAAGCAAGCAAGTTACAGTGGAATGCAGAGCTCTAAAACCTGATTGGCCAGAATACAGAAGTTTATTTTTGTCTAGATAATCATATAATTGGTTGTAAATCAATTTCTCAAAGAGTCTTGCCAGAAATGGGAGCACAGAAATCGGTCTATAATTGGAACGATTGTTTTTTTCTCCACTTTTAAAGATTGGGGCAACCCTTGCAGTTTTCCAATTTTCAGGAAAAACTCCAGTGGCAATTGAGAGGTTAAAAATGTCACAGAGAGATTCTGCAATGACAGAGAATGCGATCTTTAGGAAATGGTTAGCAATGCCATCAGGACCGAAACCCTTGGACGTTTTGAATTTGCAAAAAACCTTTTTTATCTGAGGAACATCAAAGGCTTGTAATTTAAACTGTAAATTTTCAGGGTTCACTTCCAGCTTATCTTCAACAAGGGGGTTGGCTTTCTGTGGAATTTTGTCACTAAGAGATTTGCCAATATCACAAAAGAAATCATTCATTGTCTGAGCAACAGCATTATTATCGGTAACATGCTTACCATCAACATCAAGTGACTGAATTTGAGTCGTTTTTGATTTCTTATTGAGAACCATGTTAATGGTTTTCCAAGTGTTTTTAAGATCACCTTGGGAAAGGGCAATCTTATTCGTAAAATAGTCGCGCTTTAAATCTTTGTTTAATCTATTGACCCTATTTCTCATTTGTTTATAAGCATCCATGAAAATTTTGGACTTTGAGCGCACAGCTGCCAATTTCAACCTGTCTCTTGTAGCAGACAAACATTTGAAATCCTTCGTCAACCAGGGGCAAAACTTTTCTGAAACCCTCCTGCAGCGTAAAGGAGCATGTTTTTCTAGAATCAACGAGAACATATTTGTCCATTGCTCAACGATGAGGTTTATATCATCGGTATTTGAAACAATGCTTTTCCAGTCAATTTGTTGAAGATCACTAAGAAAGTTTTCTTCGTTGAAATTTTTCATTTGCCGAGTGGAAATGTTTTTGTGCTGTTTTTTAGCAGTATCTCTAAATCTTTTAACACAGTAGACCAAATAGTGATCACTTATTGTTGTCTCATAAACACCAGATTCTACAATAAAAGCTTTATTAGTTGTGGCAATATGATCAATCAGAGTGGCAGTTGTAAGAGTTTCCCTTGTACTTCTTTTGATCAACTGTTTTAGACCGAAACGATCATAAATGTCAAGTAAGTACTTCGAATGTGGTTGAAGGTTATCGGGGGTACAAGTATCCTCAGCCCCAGAAACTATTGGTAAAAAATCACAGTTTGTGTCGCCAAGGAGGATTATATCCCTGTTCTCCTTGTCGAGAACCTGTAAACACTCTTCCAGTTGACGAAAGATTTCAACTGACGCGTCAGGAGGACGGTACCACGACATAACAAGAAACGGTGCAGCCTTCACAGGTTTCACCTCAATACAGATACCTTCTAAATTGGATAGAGGAAGGTCCGTCCTGACAGTGACTTTATCAAAAGATGCGTCTTTTATATACAAAGCTACACCTCCACCATTGCGGTTACGATCACTTCTTTTAATCGAATAGCCCTCAATACTGACAAGATCATTGTCTATTTTATCATCAATTTTAGTCTCATTAACGGCCAGAATATGAATCCCAAGGTCATTAATAAGAAGACGAATCTCGTCAATATGACGTAAAAGGCTATTCACATTAAAAGAAGCAATCGCCATACCCTTTTTGAAGCCTAGACTTGTAGTGCTGTTGGTGACATGATTGTGTAAGGGAGCTGATGCAGAGGTCTTCCCAGTGGCCGAGCAATCTCCCTCTTTATCTTTTACCTCAATCTTATTTAGTCAAAAATTTAATGCACGAAGTAAATTGTTAGAAAGAATGTTATCACCATGTCGGTTGAGATGGATCAGACTTCTGTTAAGATGTTGGTTGGCATGTATGTTGTTGTGTTCCAAAAAGGCAAAATCATTCTGAGAGCACAAGTCCTGGAGAACAAAGTTTACTCTCTTTCTCTTTGATTCATATCTGTCACCACGTGTTATAAGACCGGAAATAACGACTTCAATACCTTTATCGCTAATTGACTTAGCCAGATCGATAATTTCCTCAGCAATTTGCACCTCTGTTTTTTCTTTTCCATCAATTTTCAGAGAAAGGTCATTTGTGCCACTGTGCAGTAGGATTAGGTTAGGCTTTCTTTCAATCGAAGGCTGGGCATAACTATGCATGTCTCTGATTGTAGCACCATTGAAATTCTTGACAAAAATATTCATCCCTTGAATTCCACACTTTTCCTTTAGTTCCCAGCCATTTATATTTTTTACAAGAGAGTCACCCATAATGACTGCAGTGCGTTTACTTCTTGATTGCGAACGATTTTGCGTTTTGTAGCGGTGTTTAACGTCCCCGGTGTCATTTCCTGACGGCAGCTGCTCGTTTAAGGCATTTGAAGAGGAACTTGGTGTAACAGAATCAGGAGGTATTGTAGATACTGCATCCTCGACTGCATCTTTGTTTACATTTTGATTGCATCTTTTCCTGACGGAGCTGATCGTTGCGACTTCAGGGACCTGTGATGCTTCAGCAGCGTTGACAATACCACTGACATCGCTAACGCTGACATTTGGGGCACTGACCGGTGAAGTTGAGGCTTCCTCGTTGTAATTTATTTCGGTTTGCACTTCAGGATTCACAGCATTTACAGAATTGTTAACCTGTTCACATGAACTTGTTGCAGAATTTAATACGCTTGATTTCATTCGTCTTTGTCTCCTATTATTTGCTTTACGGGTATTTCTATTGTTGTTTGGACTTCTATTGCCATTTGTTGTTTGTTTTGTATTCTCGTACACAATAGTTGGACCTTTTTTATTGTCAGCTTGATTGTCCGAGGTATCATGTGATCGATCTTGAAGATTTCCATCATGGCGAAGCTTTGATTGAAGATCAATGTTTTCCAGCATGAGGCGATGGCATTTTTCCCGCTCCTTTGACAGAAGCTGATTCAAGTCAGCAACTGATTTTGATAGCTGACTGGCCGTTTGGAAAATTGTAGTATCAAGCCAAAAAGGTGCCATTGAGTTATCAAAATCGGGACTGGGTGGGTCCCTGTTTATGGTTGCACGTGCACTAGATGCATCAAGTTCTTCTGAGGCTTGTTTGACGCCATGATTTGATTTGAGCGATAAGCTTTTTAGCTTCGATAGTTTTTCTCTAACTGGTTCATTGTCAGCTTCAGTTTCATTCGTAAAATAGGATTCTTTGATATATAATAAATCAGCACGAACCATTTCATCTAGAGCATCTGAAACCATTTCTTTATTTAGGCCATGCAAGGACTCAGCTTCACGGCAGATAAAATCTCTATCAGGACGTTTCTTTTTGCCACGAATAGCTGCAATAATATTAAAGATTTTGTCCATGTCATTTTCAGTACCTTGGTCAGTACCCATTGCTCGTATCGCTAAAGAAAAATCTCAATTCCAGTGAAAAAAGTGAGAGCAGATACTCTCTTCGAATAACAGATTCGAATTTTCAATTATGGGTGTCTTCCACAGAAATTGGTGTAAAAGTTAATGTCCATTTCAGTTATACCTTAGAAGTGGGCCAAGATGGGAACCCACATGCAATCTTAAATTGATGATTTCAACAAATATTAGGAAAAATGCCCTGATGACTTAATTGAATGATTGCAAAATCTTAAGCTATAAAACCTTTAGATTTTTTCATCAAATTCAATCAATTTGATGTTATTCTTTGCACTTTAAATAGCTTTTAGCTACTCCCCTGATACCTCAGAATAGCAGGTAGCTGATGAGAGATACAACTTTTGAACTTTTTTCTGTTAATAATCCAATTATATAATACAAAAACAAGTAACAAAGCAAAGCCATGGAACAGTTAGTACATCATACAGCCCAAAGCTCCAGAAGTAAATTTGTAGCATTACAAATTATTGTTATAATAAGAAATTCTAACTTTTTCCACACATTTTACAGTACAGATTTGGTACAGTTCCATAGGATAAGTTTTTATCAACTCTGGGGCCAATTTTATGTCAAAACAAGCATTAATTTCTAAGGAAGCTTTCTGCAGCAATTTAAAAGCCATTAGCAAACTCATAACATTTTGTTGGCCATGGAATTCCAGATGCCGGCCTCTCAAATAATACTTGTTTCTTTTGAACATCAATTTTTCGGATCTTATCGTCAGTCATCAGATAAATCATATGGTTATCAACATCAAGTGTCAATCCGGACTCTTCAATTAAGGCCACTCTTTCCCAAGGCCCCGCAAGATAGGTCAAAGACCCTGAAACAGAAATAACCATACTAAATATTTTTAATTAGCAAAATTTGAGCTTTCAAGTATAACAGCTTATTTAAAACACAGAGAAGAATTAAAAATACCTTAGATATATAACTACCTTAGTTAAGTGTCAAGAATTTGTTCTGGCAAATGCGATTTGATTTGACTGTAAGCCCTTCATTCTAGCAACATTGATAATAATGCGAATGTGTTAGTATTTCAAGGATCCTTCACTGCAAACAGGGACATAGCCCTGGTCCTGATCAAATTATTGAGTCGAAAACAATAACAACATGCATATGATTGAAAATCAAGTGTTCCTCTCTAGTATATAAATAAAGTTGAATTTAATTTTATAACAGTGAATAGCTTTTGTCTTTAGAAAACATTTTAAGATATGTCATTACTTAAGATTTGTGAATGAAAATAAAGGTATTTTTTAGATGTTGTCATAACATTTATCAATAGGTGTGTCAATATTTGTTTAACAATATTCTGGCACTTTTGAGATCATATTTCAGGCATATGATTAACCTTACTCATTGGACTCCCATGTTGTAGATGCAATTCTGAAAATGCCAAGATAAGAAATAGATGAAAAGGGAATAGAAAAGAATGATGTAACTTTTTGCCTTTTTAACTAAATATTAAATTTTTTTTACTTTTTAGTATCATTTTTAACTTGCTAATGTATCTTTACTTCAGAAAATTTATGTTTGAACTTGGTGATGTCTTCTTTGTTGTTTACAATGCTGTACTGATAAGACTCATTTAAGACAGATAATTCTTGGGAAACATAATAGGTATGAGGTTTGTTGGTTTTTCATACCTTTATTTAGATCCAACTCTGCAAGGAATGTGGCATATTTAACTCCTTCCTGCACACCTGGTGGTGTTTGTACAAACCCAAACAGCTTGCCAAAAACAGGGTCATAGACAAGACTGCCAATACTATAATGTTTGAAAGGCAAGGTCAAATACTCTTTAGAGTCTCCATATTCCATCACACTGATTGAGTAATTAAAGCTATCATAATATGGAGTATCAGCAACAGTGAAAAATCGCTTGTTCTTTGAGTCAATAGAGCTGCCACCATATGATTTATAACTGCTGTGCATTAGCTTTGAATAGGACATAGTGTTGAAATCCATCTAAATTGAAAAATATGTAATTTTATTATACAGAAGAGCCCAAAAATTATTGATATAGATTGTGGTATTGAAATTATGAAGTTTTGTAGTGACTTATTGCTACTTTCATAGATCATAAGAAAATGGTGTTGTCTTTGATAGTATTACACGATGTTTTAGTTAAGCCATAACACTAACCTTGTCAGGTTCCTGATAGTCAAAGGTAATTTTAACATTTTGTCAAATTCTTTCAGTAGTGGAAATTATGGGGCTGCAGCTAACTGCCCTCTCCCCTTTCAATAGCTTATGACTAAGACAATCTTAGAAATCAGACATTTTGACATGGGAATTGTTAGAAAAAGGAATTGGTAAATACACCACAGACATATAGAAACATTATTCTTGACAAAAATAATGAAAATGATTTGAAGTTTACTTTTCATTCCATAGTACTACTTATAATTGAAATAAATCCTTATTGGTGACAGAAGGTATTATGAAAAGATTAATTACCTTTGAACCCATGTGATAATCTCTAGGGAAGAGGAGCCTCGACCAGAAGCCAAGGAGGATATAATGGACTGAGGGGAGGGGCTAAAACATTTAAGAAGGCTTAACATAGAAAGACAAAACATAAAATAACTTTTGCAAGATTTTAAGTGTATTGTACACATTTTCGGAATTATTTCAACAAGCCCATTCAGCCCCTACAAAATGCTTCAAATTTTCTTTTAAAGATCTTTAAATTTCCCCCATTACACTTATTCATTTATATACATATAAAATGATAAAAGCAGTTAACACCTTAATAACTGTATGCTTAGAGCCAAGTTGAAAAACATAGGCAAATCCATTTCCCTCTTCATCACATTCTATGTTGTCAATAAGGATCCCATTCACAGGAATTGTCCCAAGCACCTTCCTATTTTCAAGGTCAACAACAACCACTCGTGGGCTATTCACATCATTCACAGCAACAAGAAAGGTCATTTTAGACTTGCATATTGCAGTTGAGAAGCTTGGTGTATTGCCTCTAATATTTACCTGAAAAAATTTAAAAAATCAATTATAAGGACAGTGTGAAGAAATGTTGGATGTGGTTTCTTTGCTGTCTCTTAAAATGTTTTTGTAATTGGTAACAAGGTGCATGAGGCTATAGAAATATAATAATATTATTATTATCTAAAGCTTTCTTGCAGTCATGTGTTATGTTGTGATTAAGCTTATTGGACAATGGACACCTATAGAACCTCGCTGTTTCCTGTGCTGTTTGATTTGAGTTTTGTCTTACTGTCATACTAGGCCTGCTTTGTTAAAAGAACATTCATAATTAATGTATGTATTTGTATTTCATGTTTGATCCCAGCTCCAGAGAAATTTAACATAGACAAGTAGCGACTTGCCAAATTGAATTCTTCATCCATTCTACATACTCAATCCAGTCCTTTGCAGCAAAGACTATCAGCTAAGATTAGATTTGTAAATCATCAGAATGTGAAGTCAGTTTTTTCAAAACAAAACACAAAGTTCAAAATTCTTCTTGATTTGGTAAGGATCATTGTATTATTACCCACTGCTCAAGTGTCTTTCGTTTTGGCTAAGAATTTGTGATTTTCTCTTCTCCAAAAAAGTGAAAAAGGTACTTTCTTGTCAGCTGACAAACTTTTATCATGTTACCTCTGGTGTACATCAAATCTGCCCTGGCACAATTTCTCAAGCAACTTTTGTCTGTCTCAAACCTGAATAAGGGTCTCAGCAAGTATTTAGCTTGCTCCTTTTCATACTAGCTAGAAAAATACCTATTATAACATAGTGTGATGACATCTTATTTAAAATATCAACTTTATTGCAGTTCCCATTTTCTTAATAAACTGGAAGTAAAAAAAATTCCTTTTGCAAATCAAATTTGTCTCAGTCATAACAACAAACAAATTCCACGACTGTCTCAGGTGAAACGAAAGGATTTTGTGACCTGACTTGCGTCACTTTGCACTCTCGAGGTCTCCGCTACAATGCCACATTATGGATATTTTTCTAAGAATTAGTGTGGAAATCTTATGAAAACGATAAGAAATCATTGCTTATGATTTGAAAACAACTCTGCTCTGCAATCAGCCTGACGAAATCTATAGTGTGGTGTGCGTTGCCACTGTCTCGCCTTAGTCAGGGCATAGTCCTCAACTCAAGGGCAAGAAACAAAAGACAAAAGTCACGACTGGTTGGTTGTCAGGTTGTTGAAAAGAAATGCTTCCTACCTCAGTGGCATTGGGAACAAGAACATTGACATCAAAGTCTGGCAGGCCAACACTAATGATGTTTAAAACAGTTTCACCAACGACGGTTACTCCAACCAATCTTTCTTTGCTGTTCTGACCTCTGGCAAAGATAGCTTGACGACCAGAACAAATTGAACAAAGAAAGGCAGCGAGCAAGGCAACAGTCAACCCAATCTTACGAAACATGGCTGGTTCTCTTGGCCGTTCTTCAGTTTTGCTGTCAAGCTTTCCTGCTTTCCACCTGTAAACTTCGTCCTCTCTCTCGGCGCAAAGTGATTACACGCTAGAAACTGCGTCTTTTATAGATAATAAGACTTACAAGTCATACTTTTCAAGGATGTACATCTTGCTGGTATCAGACAAATCTAAATTTGCTCCCAACGCCCATCCAGTGAAATTCAATGGTCCTTTTGCATGCTTTATATTTATGCATACTATTCTTTATTTTCCGTGTGAAAAATCAACAGAAGTGCGAGTGGGGGGGGGGGGGTAATTGGATTGCAACTTTTCTTTGGGCAAATCCGGTGGATTGCCTTAATGGGCTTGAAATTGTGAGAGCTTCTGAGGGGTTTCGAGAACTGTGCCCGTTGAAGTAACTGACAACTATAATCAAAGACAAAATTGTTGAGATAAAATGCAATTTTTGCAATCTTCTACTTTACGTTGCCCCATCACCCCCGAACAAATGTTATACTAGTAGTTTATCATTTGTGCTTCAAAAACATGCATTTAACATTGAATGTGGGGAGGGGGAAAGTTATTTTTGAAAAAACTGAAAAAGTAAACTTTTCTTGAAGATTCTCAACTATTTTTGTCATGGATTGAAAGAGTTGTCTAATGTTACCTCACTATAAAATAGTCTTAAAATGATGTTCACTAAATTTTTAGATTTTAAAAAGCCAGTTAAAGAACAGACGTATAAAAACATGTCCTTTTCGTAAGCAAAGCACATAGGGCGACGTTTCTAATTTAGTTAATTTTGCTTGACGGATGAAATGATTTGCAAGTGAACTCGCGTAACTTGGGGTTCGTGACATGGCAAAAAGTCTTTTGGGCTGGTAACTCGTTGACATTATTGTTGACACCCGTGAGTGACTCCCAACAGACCTTTTTGTTTTTGTTTTGTGGGGTCAGCCCTGATTAATAAGAATGGGACATCGCTAAAGCAGCCGGAACAACATAAGAAGTGACAGAGAATTGAGTTCTTTACAAAGGCACTGAGAAAATCTTCATCCCCTTCCGACTTCCCTCACAAAGAATCAGATGTACCAATCTACAAGGCTTGCCAAAAGTCTTGGTACACTAACATCAGTTTTCAAGGGCAAATTCAGCCATTCCCCTTTCCCTCTTTGAAGAATGTTGGTTTTCTACAAAAGGACGTAAGGGGTTAGGAATAATGCTTTTTTCTGCAACTTCTATCATCATCATTACATTTACATTTAACAACCCTTTGGGTCATGCAAATGTCTGCCCAGTCAACTATAACATTAAAATTAGTTGATTTCGACATAGGTTGTAAAAGATATCCGAATTTGCCTGCATCACAATACTGTCTGGCAGGCTATTCCATACAGAAACGATTGAATAAAAAAATGAAAACCTAACAGCATCAACCCTTTCGAATTTAGGCATGATCTTCAATGAGTTAGAGTTCCTTGTCATTGAACAAGTTGCAGGGGAAAAGAAAACGTTAGGGTCCAAAGCAACCTGATTTGTAAACATTTTATGAACATATTTCAGTTGGAATAGAAATCTACGAGATTCAAGTGAGTTCCATTTCAGTTGTTGCAATAAATCTGTCACGCTAGATCTCTGACGGTACTCTCCCATAACAAAACGAGCTCCGTTTCTTTGGACCTTTTCGATTCGTTGTTTTAGTTCATTAGTATGCGGTGACCACACTTCGCATGCGTATTCAAGGTGAGGGCGCACCAGCGTGAAGTAAAATTTTTCACGCACCTGGCGTGGACTTCTAGAAAAGTTTCTCCGAATCAAACCAAGAGATCGATGATATTTTTCTAAAATATTGACATTGATTAGGAAACAAGGGGTGCGGAAATAGTAGTACCCTGGAAAAGAATTGAAAAATATAAAAACACAACGCAAATTACTGGGTGTTCCAAAACATTTTCTGAACATATTTCAGTTGGAATAGTAATCTACGTGATTCAAGTGAGTCCCATTTCAGTTGTTGCAATGAATCTGTCACGCTAGATCTCTGACAGTACTCTCCCATAACATTCTTTTGCCAATGATTTTAAGCGAAACAAAAGCATTCTATTAATCGGAGCATCTTAAAATGTTGCACTTTCACATCTACTAGCACTTTCACAAACTAACAAAATAAAAAACAACGCTAGGTGAAGTCAGATTTATCATCAAAAATAATAAAAAGTTTTGAATAAAATTTTAAAGAAGTTGTACAGAGTATCAATTTGTCACGGGCAGCTACGCTATTTTTGAAACACTTAAAAATTCATGCGAGCTTTGATTCTTTCGACTCGCTAGGAATTGAGTTCCTCATTACAAATGTACATGTAATCCTTTTTAGACAAGTTTCCTAACAAATATTTGTGTTGTGATGTTACTACATGTATGATGCTTATATACACTCATCTTCAAAAGAAAAAAATCAACGTTGAATACTCCAGTTTCTTAACGCTTTAGGAAATTTCCTAACGACGTCGTTAATTTAAAACATTGAGGTCCTTTTGTTCAGTGGCGTGCTGGGGAAGAGATCGCAGGGGAAAAGGGGCAATTTGGCGCCACTTATTGTGCCATCTTCAAATGTTCCTTCAAAGTTTCGGAAATATTCAGTAAAGTACAAGAGTTCGGAAGCACGCCGATCTATATCCATTTATCTGTGGACGTACCAAAAGACCTCCAAATGAGGAGAGGGGGTAGTCAATCAATCACTGATAAGACGTGAAAGAAAATGTTCAAAATGAGTATGTTATTCTTTGTAAAACTTAACGGTATGTTTGAGTATCGTTACCTGTATCGTTACCCTGGGTACCAGACTCACTCCATATAAAACAAAAGTGATTCTAGTATCCAGGGGGGGGTGGTTCTGTATCACTTCACAACAATGATAATTAAGGACGTCATTATTGACGGAGGTTAGGGGTAGAAAGACGGGGTGAACTTTTCTAGGGATGTGGGGGATGTTCAGAAAATGCATCCAAATAACCACAAAATCGCCCTAGACCCATAGAAGATCCTGGACAATACCCATAAGCTTTCTTCAAAATATGGCCCCATTGCCATTTGAGGTAGGCCTTGTTTGGGTATACTATGAATTTGCCTGATTTAAAAAAATTACCTGAAATTCTTTAGCTGCTGACACCATCCTCCGCAATAAAAGGGGATCGATTCAAAAAAATTAACATTATATTATCAGACCTTCGAACCCTTTAGTCAGATTTTGTATATATTGGAAAAAGTTCAAGATATAGGTAAACTGTCTGAGGCGGCACCATGGTTGCCGCCGAGGGAAAGGAAAAATTCGAATTTATATGCTTCCAGTTTGCTGGAAAATGCATTTTTTGAAGCAATTTTTAATAATGCAAGTTTTCTCTTGAAAGAGTATCTACAGGCTGAAAGCTATTTGATGGCTTTAATCAATTTTCTTGTGTTGTTGTTAAATTGTTTAGCTTATGCAACAAAAGTTTTTTCAGATTGGAACATAATCACTGCGTTGTCTTCCTGTCATGTTTCTTGTCATTTCAGTGAAACAAAACTCCTTGCACCCTCCCAATGATTTTATGAAATGGAGCCTAATCTGGACATTTACCGCCAAGCCCAACATTATCATTGGGTTTCCTAAAAAACACCTACTTACTTCGGTACGCCCCTGGTATCTACTGGATTTAGCGTGCGATCTTGAGATGGTGAGTAAGAAAGAAATGGTGGTATGTTGCAAGGTGATTATTGTTCTTTTCAACTTTAGTATTGTTGGGTTCTTTTATGTAAATCTTCCTTGCTTGCTAGCTATTTGGAAAGGGCGCCTTCGTCCCCTATAAAGTGAAAATTCATTTTTTGCGCCATGGCCCCTCACTTTTTTGCAAAACAAAAGAGCTTCTTTCTAAACAATAGAGCTTTTTTCAAAATCTTTTGTAATGATTGTCAAATTTTCTCCTGCCTCCCCCCCAATTTCCAACCTGCGTTGGAGCCCATGAATCGTGTTGATGGATTTTTACAAAATTTCGACGTTTTATCCAGTACTTGTTTCTCTCAACGAGTTAAAATATAACTGTATGTAACAGCTCAAGGCCCACAGGGCTCCAAACTATATATGCTGACCATGCAGAAACCATAGCAACAGTTAGGGCCTAGAAGCTAGGAGGAACTGTCGGCCATGTTGCCTTGGTCTTTTGATCTGCGAAGCAAAACTATTTTTCTGTCAATGCTGGAAACCGAAAAAGGGTTAAAGAGTGGCGAAGTAAAGTAGCTTTGAAATGTTTAGATAGATACATGTGTACTGTGTTTTTAAAGCTTCGGTTTTAGCATAATAGAGCTTTAGGCCCTGTATAGGCCTTATACGTATAATATATGTGTAATAATGCGGTCGTAGTCCTGTACGACACGGCTCATGAATGCCAATCAATTAAACAGTATCAAATGGCTTGTTAGTATTTTATTGCTATCATATTTCCCAGTCTGAGTATAGGCCAACTCTGCGTTACAGTTAAGTTTGATTGAGACCATCGGAGTATTTATTCTAAAAGATGGAATCGCGGGAAAATTTTGTGAAGCCCCAACATCCACTGCCAAAGGAAATTCAGTCAATGAAACCTGACGAAACTGTTTGCCAATTTTGTGGGGTGAGTTATTTGATTCATAACGAAATAAAGAAACTGGAGGAAGAAATATTGTTTTTACAAAAGAAGTTAAAACAGTACGAGGGATTTGATGAGAGGGAGGAAAACTTATTGCAACAACTAACACATGAACGCTCAAGAAGTAAGGAATTGGGAGATAAGCTGCTGTTAAAGGAAGAAGGGTAAGTTTCTGTCACAATTTTTTTGAAATGAATAAGAAAGATTGTTGGCTTTTCATGCAATTTTTACTAGATAAACCTGCTTTTTTATTTTTTATTTATAACTCAAAAAGCAAGAAAACAGTGTTGTATAAATGTTTGCAGGGCTTTAACGTCCAGAAATCAAGGGACCCGATCAAAAACTCCTGTGGTTAGACTGGGGTGTGCGAATCAAACTTTTTTGATAACACAAAACAATAAATTTTTCTATCGAAACAGTAAACTTAACAAAACTTCTAAAATGAACTGAATGCTACATTGTATCTAGTTGTGTTCATGTTCATTCTCAATGAGGCCAAGTCTTCTAGATTATTCCAAAGAGAGTGAATTCTACAAACGATCAAATTATTGTTAAGGTTGCTACTGTGCAACATGTCAGTGACACAGATGTTAACTATTTTAGAAATGTGACAGGTTTCAATTTTGTTCAGCCAAGTTAAAGAAAATAACAGAAGAAAATAGTTTTAGCAAATAAACCAAAAAAGCATCTCCCCTCTTACCAAAGCAAAGAACAGTTTATATAGCATCAGTTAAAGGTAGGCCCTGTCTAATTCATATAAAAACAGAGCTGAATGAACTTGTTTGTTAAACTGTGTTCCCATTGATATGCTTGTAAACAGAGTCATTTGATAACGATGTTTAAAGTCATCAATCTAAAACAAGATCATTTGAAAACAAATCATTTTAATGAGAACAGTGAAAACAAAGTCATCCAAGAACATAGTCGTTCTGAACTGAATTGTTTTAGCAAGAGAAGCAAGAAAATTGTTTTAGCAAGGATTCCATGTGAAAAATTACAGAAAAGGATTTTGTCAATTGATTGACCTATTAGCATCCAGTAATCATTCTTTTCACCAGTATGTGTGCCTGCACTCTCTAGTGCCCCCCACTGAAAGCCCCGACTGTTTGATTCTTAGATTAAAGAGACTATATTTCAACCTATTTTTCATTGCTTATTTTAATTTATCAATTTATACTAATTTTTATTGAAACAGATTCAAGGATTTGGCAGACAAACTAAAAGAAACAGATGTAATAAAAAAAGAATTTGAAGTGAAATATGAATTATGCGATGCAAAATTACAAGAAAGAGAGAAAATTGTTTCAAATTTGATCATAAAGGGCAAAGGAATAAAGAAACTGCTAAAAGGTGTACAGGAAGTAATTTTTAATTTAAAAACAGAAAAGGACGCTCTAATAAAAGATTTTACAGAAGTTAAAAACCAAAAGGATGAGGAGTTGTTGAGGGCACTTATCACCCTAAAAGAGATTGCCTGTCAAAATGAAAAAGAAAAGAACCAAAAAATAACAGAGTGCAATGAAGTAGGTATTCTTTGTCAAGTGTATCTTAATTTCTTGCAGAGCTTAATACTTTTTAATTGTTTATTTTATTTTCACAAATGTGCTAGAATACTTACACCCAGCTCATGTCTTGGGATGAAAATTTGAAAGATATAAAAATAAATGTCTATTTTCCTATTCGGCAGGTCTGCTGGGATTATCCCTCCTTCTCTTGCTCTCATCTTTATGCCTCAGCAGATTGTTCAATTGAAGCTCTTTTAACTCCCATATTAATAATAATTCAGTGATTTCCTTTTCTGAGCTAAGGCTTTATAGATAAACCAACTTCTTTGATTATTGTGACCAATTAAGGTTATAATAACTTTGTTCTCAGTTTCCTTGTTTTTGTGGTCACTTTATACCACTTTCCCATTTTGCAGAATTATTAGGATGCCACAATCAGGCTACACCTGAAATTTTGTGCATCAGTATTTTGTTAACTGTACATTTAAAATTCATGTCTTACTTTCTTGAACATCATGGGAACAGAGACAGAAGTGAACAGGGATTGATGAAGAGTGTCTATGAAAAGAGCCAGCTCCCAAAAAATTTTCAATAAGTTTTTAAAAGCATAGACTGAATCATTTTCAGTGGCATAACAAACAGAAGGGATAATGAACAAAGTTGTCCCCCTTGTTTTGATTATACGTTCCCCCATGCCCTCTTGCACATCTCTATTGTGCAAAGTCTAGTGTCTCTTTTTGCCATTCTGTTCCCCACTCCATAAATTTCTAGGCCCAAGCTAATCTTACTGTTGTTTATGTGCGCAAGATCCAATGGCTTTGTATCTACCTCAAGTGTTTTGAACTTGGGGGGCACTTTGAGGGTGCACCCCAGAGAATTTCGGAAGGTTTGAGTAATGTATAGATAAGATTTTAGATTATGGGATATAGACAATTGAATACTAATGATTGATTTTCTATCGCTATGCTCAATGTTGATGTTAAGTGCACATTCATTTTAATAGTTGAGAAGAGAACTTGATGCCTGCAGAGGAAACTGCACTAAGCTGAAAGGTGATTTGGGCAGATTTGAGGAATTTGTTCAAGCTAAAAATGATCTAGAACGATCTTTATTGTCAAGAACCAAAGAGTTAGAGGAAAAGGCTGTCGAAAATTCAAAATTAGCTGGTGAAAAAGAATCAGTGTCTGATGCACTGAACAAAATCAAGTCACTATTGAGGTATTTTCTTTGAAATTTTTTCATATCCTTAAGGGGCAATGGAATGTATTCAGAAGAATGGGCTACTCTGGGTCACAGTGCTGGGTTTTAATGACATATTTGTTGCAGATGTATCTTCTGGAAAGTAGGTGACTACTTTAGCTCATGTTCTAAAAATTATCAAATACATTAGGTTGAGTAGGGTGCCATGCTCCTCTTGATTAAAAAGAGAGTAGAATGTTGATCACCGAAGGTACCTTAATACGAAGTTTCTTGGTACCAAGCCCTACCTCTCATGATCAATTTTTTCTTACCTATCGTTGCAACGGTTTTTAATAGCTTTCGGCTTAAAGTGAACCTTTTTTCAAAGCATCATAGTTTTCTCTCATCTTATTGTCACTATTCAACGTTTAATACTCTGAGGAATGTAAAGCAAACAAAACTTTGGTACGCTGTTTCCAGTTTGCTGTCGCGTGCTATTTTGCAGTAACTACCACTGGCCCATTAAAAGATATATGAATTTTTATATACATATCGCCCTCTGACTAATCTTAACAATAACTCTTTGCCATACAATTGACCATTTTGCAATGCCATCTTCTTCAGTAAAGAACATACAATATCAATAAACAGTATTTTCCATTAGTTGATTGTTCAAACGTTTTAAAACACTTTGTAAAGAGAACACTTAGAGAAAAGACTGTATGTGAGTTTTCTGTTACGAGACTAAAATTCGACGATGCAGCAAAATTCAAACTCATTTTCCTTGATCCGCTAATGGAAAAGAACCTCCGTATAACCAGAAATTACACATTTCTTCCCATCTCCCTGGTAATGAGCTGAAATCTGAGGTGATTTTGCCTGTTTGAAAAATCTGTTAGTTTCATTTCTTTGCAAGCAATTAGGCCTAAAGGCAACCTTTTTGCCAGTAGTTGCCGCTGTATACTTTTAAGTACCGTATAGACAACCATTTAAGTACCGTATAGACAACCATTTAAGTACCGTATAGACAACCATTTTACAACCATCGAATATATATGATCATACCGAAGAGGATGTAAGTTTAACCCGTGCCAAAAGTCTTGAACCGCTAACGGCAATTTACAAAGGCAATATCAATTCAGCCACCCCTTTGCAACAATATTTGGTTACTTTAAAACCAAGAAGGAGATTGTCTTGTTTGTATTTTCTTTTACTTTGTATGATATTTGTCTAGAATATCAACGTTGTTTTAGAGAGAAGGGGATGGGAGTTTTAATATTCTAGAAAATAAATGACAAATGTTAAAATACAGTACAATTTTCCTGTCGTTCCAATTAATTTTGGCAGGCATTGTATGTATGCAACAAATAATTTGTTGAATGCTGAATGTAGTTTGTTTTTTAGCGAGCGAAATCACAAGTTGATGGAAATGGAGTCTTCTTTGAAAGCTAGTGAGAGTACTTGTAATAAAGCAATAGAAGAAAAAACCAAGCTAGAAAGAGAATTTAATCAAGAGAAAGGTATTATTTATGAACAGTTAAAAGATCGGGAAGATCAAATTGAATGGTTGAAAAAGTCCAGCGACAAAGAAAAGGAAGAGATGTCAACAGCTTCAGTTCAATTAAAGGTAAGTACTCGTTGATTCTTTACTGTGCGTACCATGCAGGGGACTGCACAATGAGACCTGTATATAGGTGACACTTGTTGGACCGGAATAGCGGCCCTAGGTCCTTGAGGTTGTTGAGAGGCAGGGCCGTCGTGAGGGGGAGGCAAGGAAGCCAATTGCCCTAAGGTGTCGATGTCTAGAAGGCCTTGTAAAGTAATGAATTCCGTTTTGTGATAGAATTAATTAATAGTAACAAAATTATATCTTATACTAGTTAAACATCTCGAACGAATGAATGAAGTTAAGCCCTTCTAAAGGGCGTGTTCACAAAAATTGTCCGTTGAGAGGTGTCCAAAGTTTTACTGGGTTATGCACAGCAAGCATGTTTCTGTCAGCCTGGGTTCCAAACCTCTACTTTCAAGCTAGGGGTCTGAAACAAACAGAACCAAACCAGGAGTTTTGTACCCGGTGGGGGGGGGGTAACTTCCACATAAACTGGTACGGGATGTGCCATTTTTTGGGGTACCACTTTTCAAGAAAAAAATATATTTTTGGGTATTGATTTTGGTAAAATCAAAGATGATTTAGGCTTCAGTAAAAGGGCATTTGAAAAAAATTCCCAATTTTTGTAACTCTCATTTTATTTCGATGTTCAATAGGCATCTTACACGTTCATTTTTTTGTGGGTAGTGGTAAAAACGTCAAAAATAGGCCTAAATCTAGCTGCGAGACACATTTGTTGTCATAATCTTGAATTCTGATTGGCTAATGGAGTATGGAGAATTTTGGTCGCTCAGCCAATCAAAGATTTGGAACCTATGCTAGTAAAGGGTACTGAATTGACATATGGGTCTTTCCTGACAGGTTTTGAAGGAATGCCTTGATAAAGCAAAAATGGAAGTCGCAATGCTGAAGAAGGAAAGGTATTTTATAAATATGTGTCAAAATTTTTAGGAACCCTTCGGCGTGAAGATGACACCACTGTGTAACAACTGATGAGAAATGTCCTGTCCGGGGAGTCTTCTTCCGAAATACTGATTGACCCAGATATATTTCGCTTTCCCCGTGTATTCATAAGTTCCTTCTTTGGCACGACATAACAATGCGGTAAATTTTTGGAGTTCTAAGCAAATTCACCCATCTGACCCCGATTTATCTTTTGACCCCGAGCGCTGTCAACATGATTGCAAATTTTACCCCTCCGCTGCCAGTCTAAGACAAATTTTGTTTTCCCCTGCCATATGTAACTGCTGCTATTCCACCCGAAAAAATTCTCGCCGTGTTCGTTACACAGGGGTGTAAGATGAATTTTTGAATCTGAGGTTTAAGAAGGCTACTTGAGATAGATTGTTTTTATTTCAATCGGCATTTAGCTGCTTCAAAATTTATTCAATGTTTAGACAGACAGACGTAGGTAACGCAATGCACTCTTTTTTTATAAGAACAATTTTATAAGAAAACAAGCCTCAAAATTGGTCAAAAGTTAAGAACAAATAAAGAACAAGCTGAGGCTGAGCTTCTGCAAAATGCAATTTTGAGCAACGTTTTTTCTCAAAATTGGGGATTTTTAGCGATGTGTGGGTGCTTTTTCGGTGAATATTCAATTTTGTCAGCGAATTAAGGCTGTCTCGCGCACTTTGTTGGCAAATGAAGCTTGTACACCACCTTAGAGCGAAAAAGCTAGCAATAGCACTGCTTACACCCTATTAGATTAAGAATAAATTAAGAACAATCCAGCCTCAGATTTTCGAAAAAGTTAAGAATAGTCAGCCTGAACTTATATTTGCTGGTTCTTATAAAAAAGAGTGTATTTAGCCATCGACATATCGAAAGAGCAGTGAAACGAGCGTTTCGATACTTACAGGCAGTGGCGAAATTTGAGATTTTGATGGGCAAGGGGCAGCGGTGTAGTGCCATCAAAATTACAAGGGGGGTTCCTGCACAAAATATTGCTAAAACAATAAGTATATTGCAAAATATTGCAGAATGTAGAAATTGGTGGTTAGTATTCGGCATTGAAAGTGCGGCTCTGCCCCCTTGAGCCCCCTGAGCCCCGTAGTACTACATCCCTGGCAAGGGGCATCAAAATCCCTCATTATGTGACCTTTCTTTTTCCACTTCTTAGGTAAATATTCCCGATGTTGAGACAAAGGTTACGAGCTTTCCCTATGTTAGAAATGCATAGAGACCCCAGACTTCTGCCACTGTTTGAATTTTAGTGTGAATTAATCATATGCATCCTAGAGTGTTCGATTATGATCGGTTGTAGCCACAAAAATTCCTGCATAACATCAATTCCAATCTAAAATTCAAGTGGCAAGGACATAGTAAGCAACTGAATAACAGTTTTGCAAAACTTTCGTCCACAATGCTAAGTTCGATGATTGATTGGTAAAAAAGAGCCAATCAGCTGCGTCTTCAGTTAGCGGTAGATAATTTTGAGTTGTTTGACCTATTATTAAACAACTTGCAAGCCTGTGTTAAAAGGTAATAGCTTCTGCCTTTTTATCCGTATCGCGTTTGGACCATGTTTATATGTGCACCAAATGTCTCGCTTTTTGTCGTCCCAAGATTTTCCTTAGCCAAGCATCTAAGGTCAACTTTGCCATTTTTGAAACAACTTTTGGGGCTCGATTCAGTTGTTGTTTTGTGGGGCCTTTTTTACAATCTCTATTTATAATATCTGGGAAGCAATTGTTCCTCCAGCCCCAGTAAATTTCAATTTCCAGTAATTTCAAAAACTCTATGCTATTGTCCTTTTTTATATCAACAAAGCTTTACTCCTCCCCTCCCACCCCCCAGCAAGCTGATTTCCCTTAGTAAAGGCTATGCTATTTTGATAATCCACGTGTATCACAAAAAAGACAAAAGCTCCTTTGGATTGCTGAATTACATGTGCTTCCTTTTAAGAGAGGATATGATTGCTGCTCATCAAAACAGAATCGCGCAGCTGAGAGACAGCTTTAAACAGAAGATGCTGGAAGCTGATTCATGGCCTAAGAAGGTTAGTTTTATTCCGATCGTATGCGTGCGTTCCACTGTATGCATTCGATCGTGTGCATTCGATTGCATGCGTTATGGTATGCGTTCGATGGGGGCGCAGTGTATTGTCTTTAAAATATATATCGTTGGGCCATCTGACACAGCGTATTTGTAAAGGTGATTAACCTCATAAGGGTCGGTGAAATGCAATCTTCTCTTTATCTTCCCATCACACAAGAAGCAGAGTCAACCAGCGCACGAGGACGGTGGAGCATATTACAGATTGAGGGGGCTGAACATGCTAAAACCAAGAGCAGGGCTAAAACAACGATATTTCTGAAATTTTATTAGGGGGGGGGGGCGAAAGCCATGAGTACATGTTCCCTACTGGGTGCTCCTTGTTTCTGCCTAATCTTTCTGCAATCAAAAACTGCCTTATGAAATCAAGCCTGCTTGCTTTTGAAAGAAATATTTTCAAGCATGTATAAATAATAGAAAGCTATACAGGAATTTGGTTGCTTTTGTGGGTTTTTTAGTACCCTTACAGCACCCGTTTGTAACCAGCCCGGTAAAACCATCTCCAGTGAGAAATTTCCCGACCGGGTAGTTGCCTTTCGAAAAGGTGTAAGCCGGGCATAATTCCATTTCCCCACGTCCCCTGCAACCTGAGACTTTTCGTTCTCTAGTCACTCTTAAGTACGCTTTAGCACGCTGGCCATGCCTGTCCAAGACATGTTTCACTGTCATCCCCTGCCATTCAAAGACAAGTTTTGCTGCCCTCCCTAATTTACAAGCTGTCCTCCCGTTAAGAACAATACTCGCCGTTCTTGTAACACAGTGGTACTCCTGTCCCTCACCAACAAACGAACTCAATACTTAAATTCCTAAAGCCGTTTATGTAGAATCTTTAAAAATTAATATTCAACAAAATATTCAGCTTATGTGGGCTAAACATATGGAACACATTTGACTGATATCGCGCATTTAGAGGTATTTCATGATGCTCCTGTTGTGGAGAGTGAGGAACAGAAGTTTCGTGTTTGATACCTTTCCTTTTCAGAAGATTTTCAAAGTCATTTGATACATATCTCCGCCATTATCTGTACGCAAGGCTCCAATTTTACATGCAGCTTCATTGGTTGCAGAGGCTTCAAATTCTTTAAACCTCTTTAGTACCTCAGACTTCTTTCTAATGAAGTAGACTTTGACACATCTCGAGTAGTCATCAATGAATGTGACAAAATAACGCTTTCCTGAAAAGCTCTGTATGGACATTGGTCCACATAAGTCGCTGGAACTATCTGTAATTTTCTAGAAATCTTGATCCCCTCTGTTGACTTGGAAGGTTTTCTACTTATTTTACTTTCCGCACACCCTGTACAAAAGTCCATTCCTTGGATGGCAACTTCTTTGATGATCTTCTTCTTGACTGATTCCAATAGCTGTTTTCTATTTATATGTCCTAGTCGTTCAGGTTGCAAGCTAGTTTCGGAACATAGAGTAGCTAGTTTCAGGTTGCTGGGCCTCACTTGCTTCCTTTCGTGACATTCAAAGCTTTTATGACCCTCCTTGCCACAGTTGTAACATTTGCTTTTGAAAGGCCTGCTCATGCCCTTTTCCAGGTGCAATGCAGAGTCTCGATTAATTTTAGTCGTTGCGGTTGCTTTGAAGGCCTGTTTTTTCTGCTCTTCATTGATAAGGGCTTGCTGGACGAAGGCCAGTGATAGTTCATCTCCTTTAGCTTCCAGAGCTGTAACGAGTGTTGTATAGCTTGGTGGAAGGCTTATGAGCAATGCCACGACTTGCTCTTCTTTAGCTACTGTAGACCCGAGTGCATGGAGTTTTTCAGCAATTTCCTTCATACGTTTCAAATGATCCTGAACCGATTGCCCTTCAAGCATTTTTGAAGTAAAATATTGTCTCTTTGAGAAACAGCTTGTTCGCTATCGTATCCCTCTCGAAACAGGCTTTGAGAGTATCTCACAGGTCCTTCGGTGTTTCGCATGATGTCACCAAGTAGATAAGATTCGACTAAATTCCCATTACCAACGTCGCTATTGCCTTTTGCTTGGCCTTTTCGTATGTAGCTCTAGATGCTGTATCATCGTCAGGTAATGGAATCGTTCCATCTACGTGATCCCACACATCTTTCGCCATCAACAAATGTTTCATTTGAAACTTCCATGTAGGCCAGTTCGACCTATCTAATTTTTCGATTTCGTATTTATCTCCAATTCCAACCATGCTCGATCAAAGTTTCCTTTATACCTCTATCGACGAGATAAATGGAAATCCAGAACATTAAACTTCATTACGCAGTGGTTTGGCCTGGGCCCATAACCTGTTGTATTTTTCGCAGTGAACAAGTCGCTAGACTCTCAAAACACAACAGCTCCTTCACGTTATGGCATTCAAAAATTTTAGAATAGATTTTTTGTGCCGCCATAACTTTAGAACTCTATTCCGGGTGTCCCTGTCCAAAGAACCTGGCATCGAATTTCTGCGTAATGAGTGCCAAGATAAATCTTGCGCTGGAGTCTTAACTGTCTTTCAACGTGGTTTTGTTGACTTTGTGTTTTTTAACTTTTCTAGTCCTTTGGTAGTTTATTCTTACATTCTTTTTTGCATAAATACTTGCATTTATTTTATTTCACTTTCAATTTCGATGTTAGCTTGAAGAAGAGTTAACAAAACAACGACTTCAGCTAAACGAGGAGAAAAATCAACTTTGGGAGGAGCTGACAAATTCTTTCCAAAAGGTAAAGTTCAGTTTCTTGCAGCAGGTTTGGGTATAACCGTTAAGATTTTTTTATTATCCGACGCCCTTTACCCTAAGAGGTGTCAGTGTATCTTAGTTCTCTATATACTCTACTTTCTCTTTGCATTGTGAAATGTTCTTCTATGTTCTTCTTTTGTTTTCTTTGGTCTTTGATTCTTTCTCCTCTTTACTGGGTTTTGGTCCTTGTTTTTTATGTTGATGTAATAACTGATGTGAAAACATTTCGGACAGCCTGAAATCTAAATAGGGCACAAATCAGCCAATCATGGTTCAATTTAAATAGTGGATACTATTGTTAGGTCTTTATTGTTATCTCTTTAATTTGAATGTTGTTGTAGGCAAAAAATAACAAACAATTCATTGAACATTTCAAAATAGTTTTTCTAGTATTAGGGCATTATTTTCTGGTAATGAGACATCTGTAAAGCTTTTGAAAGTGCAAGAAAGGGGAGGGCAATTAAAAAAATTAAGGCAATGACTTGTGATACCTTATCCACATATAACCTTACACCTTATACCACATATACCTTATCCATTTCTTTGCAATAGAGTACCGAAGTGATGACGTCACAATATTCTCTTATTATAGAAAAATTTTGATCGCATAACCTGAAAGAGAATCATAAAATACCTCTCGATATGCAAAATCAGGTATTACGAATTGGCTAGGATATGGTTGCATGAGCACGGCCTCTTGCCCTATTTCATAACTTTATGAACCAGGCCAGAATAACAGGACCAGGCCTTGATGACGTCACACTTCGGTACTCTTTTTGTTAATTTACCATATCAGTTCTCTTATTTAAATCCGAAATTTATAGTTTACAGTTTACCAGTGTTAATTGTACTTAACATGATTAACAATAAATAAAATTAAATGCCTCTTGCTTGAAAAAGCCTCTTCCTGAGTTAAAAAGAAACACATTTTTAGACTCTTTGCGTCTGTTCAAAACGTGCAATGGTCATACCTCTAGGTATATAGAATGATAAACCTTTTGAACCATTAAGATAAATAATACACATTTTCTAGGAAATCCAGGACTTACGAAATGCACAAGAAAAAGAAAAGGAGGAATATATGAAAAACGAGAGACAGAAAACTGGAAAGGTTGGTTTTCATTCACTATTCATGTCGTACATTCCAGTTATATCTTATATAACCGAAACCCAAACCCAAACTGTTCTTGAAGTTAATTCAATGCAGTATATTTGTAAACATGCGTCATATTGAATTTTCTAAGCACGTAAGGCTGCACCCATTTACCAAATCTAGAACAACCAACTACTTTTCAAGGCAAAGTATATCAAGGCAAATCTAGAACCTCCAACTAGTTTTTTTGTTGCTTTTAGATTCAAAAGCAATACGAAACATTGCAGAGGCGATCTCGTGAGGAAATCATCAACCTGGAAACGATGCTTTCAAAGAACAAAGTAAGAGCTCGTGTGTTTAATGGTAGCCTGGGTACAAGATTCTCTGAGAATTAAAAAACAGAATCAGTCGATATTCATTATGAGAACCTAAGAGAGAGTGGAGAAAGGAGTGTTTACTTTGCCGCACCTCTTTCTTTCAACGCACATTGCTTTTGGTTTTTTACTTCTTAGAGGCTCTAGCACCCAATGTAAATTTGTCTCCATTTCCTTTGTGGTACAATCCATGGATTGAGGGAAAGCAAGTGATGAGGGAAAAAATGCATTTGTTTGTTGTGAGCAGTGGTTGTTACAAGTTGAAAAGGTGGTAGACCCAAATGTCTTATAAAGCCATGAAGGGTACCTGACCCACTTTTGTGCACAAAAATTCTTGATAATTCCCATGGGATATCAAATTAATGAAGATATACCCATCCAAAGCGTTTTCTTTATTTTGCTCCCATGCAGCAAAAAGGGTTTTTTTTATAAATACACAGGCCAAGATGGCCCTTATCCCAAGAGAAAATGCAGCTTTTCAACATTTCTGAAAAACTAAGTTTGTCTTAACCAATTTTGTAAATGTTTTTATAACCGGCCGTCGTCATCATTGCGACTGCTTTTGATAATAATTGTTGAAGTCCGTCTAGTTTGTTATTCTTTAAAGTTTTTAGTCAGTTAGAAAACATAGGGTAGGGACGATGCTAGGTGTAGTGGAAAAGCTTTTAATGAAGCTATTGTTTATTGACTTGCCTTAAAGAAAGGTTGAGCTTGATCAAATCCATCAAGATGGTGATTTTGAGAATTTTAAGAATAATTTTCTAGTTTAGAGTAAATGAACCGAGCTAAATGGCCTATACTAAAAGACCACTTCCATTCAGGCATGCGCTCATACGCTTGGTGATTATTGATCAAAGAGCAGTTTGGATGAAATCGATACAACGCAATTTTATTCGCTAATGATCAAATCTATTTTCGTCACAATGTTCTCATTTTATAGGAAAAGCAAGATAGCATAAATCGATCCCAAGAGGCTTTGATACAGAATCTCGAAATGAAAATAACAGACCTGGAAAGTAGGCTATTGAATATGCAAACACAAACATTGGGCGAGGATGGCTCTTATAAGCAGAAGTACCTTGACACGAAACGGGCCTTGGATTACATTACGGTAGACTTTGAGAAGCTCGAGACGGATCTCGCTACCAAGAAGGAGGAGGTAATTCGATTTGAATTTAGAATGAGGCAAAACGAAACATTGATTTTTGGTATCCAGCCGAGTAAGAGGCTACACGGAGTGGCAGCTCTTTGGTTTAAAATCACGAAGAGGATAAAATGAATGATTTGCCCGGGCTAACCAAGTCTTTGAGAAAACTCTCTAACCGGTTCGGAATGATGGTAGTTTTGTCCGTAGAATTACATTGTATTTTTTATTTATCATTGTTTTATACTTACCCTGAAGTTGAAGAAATCTTCAAAATCGCAAAGTACTGAATTCCCACCAGTACTCGGTGATTTCTACTTTACGTATAGAAAAAATAACACCAGAAGCTATCCACGTAAATTGTTTGGGCAAAATAGTTTTTGTGACGTTGGTTTTTGCTTTTTTAGGTCAATCTTCTGCAAGAAACAGTGCGAAGGGAGTGCGAGGAGAGGTTTGAGCTGACAGATGCCCTAAGCGAAGCGAGGCTAAAATTGCTTTCTATTGAGAAAAGAACAACAACTAGCAAGCACTTGCAGAATAGAATGTTGCCCAGTCCTCCGGCATCAGGCACTGGTCGTAGCAAAATTGATAAAGCTAATTCGATAGAATCCATGGATGGCAGAATCAAATCGACCCAGTGTTCAGCGAGCCAGGAGACGGGTGTCACCTTCGTTGCTGCCAGGTCGATAAGTGAGGAAGAAAGCAGCCGAAGACGAATAGCAGATGCACTAGCAAAGAACAGGGCCAGTAGTAGGGCAAGTTTTGATAAATTTAGGTGACCTGTTAGGACACCGTGCAGTTCCTCTTATAAGCACAAGAAATGCAGAAATCTCCCTTAGGGATAATGTCGTATTTACGATTTATGGTCGACCTTTTCTATCACATAGACACGCAAAAGAACGAAGGCCTCCTTATCAACAGAACAGTGATGCTGGGGAATTTAATTTGCTGGGAAAAATTGATATTTTACGTTATGAAGAATTAAACTGTATCATTACATTCAATTTATGGTTATAATAAAAAAGCTGAAGAATCCGGTCAGGATAATCCGATTAACCTCGTGTCATACACGTCGAGGAGTTTTTTTTGACTGCATCAACGAATCACAGGTCGCCTAAGGTCAGGGAACGCTCTCCTACAAATATGACATCCAAAAAACATCATACCTTTACGGGTTCTTAATGTACGCCCCAAATCCAATCGAAAATGCAGAAATTTTTCTATTATAAGTACACTTTGTTATACCGTGTGTGCCGGAGTCTCAGTGAGATAGTTTGGTCGGTGAAAAATTGGGAAGCAAGACAAGAGAGGAGGACCATCTCTTTCACTGAGGCTCTAGTACCCAGGGTACCTTCTAATAAGAAAAATTTCATAAGAACAGGAGCATCGAAAAAATAAAGAACATATTAAGAACAAGCCAATACTAATCTACTGATTTTGTACGTAAGTTGTTATTAAAGATTTTTATCTGTAAGAACATTGTTATTAAGGACATGTTTCATGGCAGGATATATTTTTTGCTAATATTATTAAAAAGCAATATGTTCGTTATACACCTCAAGTGTTGTTCTGTTTTAATTATTGTCCTTTGACTAAATTTATTTGAAGGCATTCGATGGGTGTTAAAGTGGCTGTCAATCATTTTTCCCCAATCAATGAGCGTGTTAGTGGAACCACACTCACTGATTGGTCAATTTTTTATTTCAATTTGTCTTAAGAAAATTTGGCTAAATTTGGCTAGCTGATACCGACATTTCCCTGAATAAAGATGAAAAAATAGTCACTGATGATCATGATTTAGGTGAGATTTTTAATGATTGTTACATAGATATTGTCGAAAATACTTCCGGTAAGAAGCCTTCCAGTATTGCCAATGCGAATTCGATTGGTGATGATCGCGAAATTGTAAGGCTAACTCTTGACAAGTACAAGGATCATCCAAGCATTTTAGCTATAGTTCAAGAGCCTGAGCAAACTTTTCAATCTTTTTCTTCAATGAGGTTACTGCTAGTGAGGTATGGCTCCAACTGAAAATGCTCGACGGTAGTAAATCAACAGGTGTTGATCAAATTCCACCGAAACTTGTTTCTCTCGCCAGCGATGATTTGATTGTGCCTCTTACTAAAGCCATCAATTGCAGCATTCGAAATTTCATATTTCCCCAGAATGCAAAAACTGCTGCAGTTTGCCCTTTAGACAGAGGTGAGCCCGCTCGTACTATGGAGAGAAATTTTCGTCCAGTCAGTATACTCAACACTTTTTCCAAAATCGTTGAGAAAATTCTAAAGGAATTGCTCAGTCCCTTCCTTGATAAGACTCTTTCAATTTTTATTGCAGCTTATAGAACAGCTTACAGTACACAGCATGTTTTGATTAAACTTGTAGAAGAGTTGATTCTAAGCTTGACAACAATTTTATTGTAGGGTCCGTTTTGATGGACCTGTCAAAAGCTTTTGATTACATCCCGCATGATTTGATTATAGCTAAACTTCATGCATATGGTTTTGATGAAAATTCTCTGTTTCTTGTCTATTCCTGTCTTAAAAAATGAAAGCAGAGTATCCGAATACATAACGTCTATAATTCCTTTCAAGAAATTGTATCAGGAGTACCACAGGGATCCGTTTTAGGTCCTATTATTTTCAATTTCTACATAAATGATCTTTTCTCTTTTATAAAGCAAGCAACCATGTATAATTATGCTGGTGACAACAGGCTTGCTTTCTTTTCCAAATCTTGTCAGGGTCTTGAAAGTGAAGCCGACACCGCTTTGTCATGGCTCGAACAAAATGAAATGATTGCGAACCCGAACAAATTCCATGCACTTTTTGTTAACAAGGACCAGACAAATACTTCTGGCATAAATCTTAACTTTCAAGGACATTCTATCAAATCTGAAGAGACTGTTAAAATCCTTGGTGTAACACTAGACTACAAACTGAACTTTGACCCACATATATGATACCTTTGAAAAAAAGCTGCGGCACAACTGAACGTTCTTAGGCCCCGTTCACACGGGAACGCAATCGTTCCGTTCCATTTTTGTTCCAGTTTCTGGAACGAAAAGGTATACTGTTCACACGGTAACGGAACGATTGCGTATCGATTTTTGTTTATGTTCAGACGGGAACGCAATCGTTCCGTTCTGCAATTTGCGCGCCAAAATAAGTGAATGATTTTTAATGCGCATGTCCATAATGGAGATAGATTTCATCATTTCGATTTATCTCTGAGCCATCTCTGAATTTTTTAAACAGTTTGAAAAAATGGAGAATACAAAAGCGCCCCAAAATAAGCAAGCTCGTGGGAAAATTGAAGCCAACCTTAAAAGGAAGGAATTTCAATGTTTGCAGAATGGTGTTGAATCTTTCAAATGGACTGACGGCGAGATTCAGCCCAATTGTGTTTTTGAAATCCTCCATTTTCTTCGCTGAGTTTATTATTGTCACCTTTTCCTTCCCTCAACAACAACACTGACGCATGCGCCAAGGGCAAAACTCTTATCGTTCCATTTTCTGGACCAGTTCTGCGCGTTCACACGGAAACGGAACGGAACGATTGCGTACCGTTCCACTTTTCGTATCACTTATTTTATCGTTCCACTTTTTGGAACGGAACGATGTCGTTTGAAGCGTTCCCGTGTGAACACAACCCCTGAGCGTTCCGCTTTTCGGAACGGAAAAGAACGGAACGGAACGATTGCGTTCCCGTGTGAACGGGGCCTTAAGCGACTCAAGTCATTTATTGGTTTCGCTGAAAAAGAAGTTTTGGTTCGAAGTTTCGTGTATTCGAATTTAAACTACTGCCCTTTAGTTGGGTATTTTTCGTCTTCAAAATCACTTCAGAAAATTGAAAGGATACAGGAACACGCGCCAAGATTTGTGTACAATGATCATAAAAGTTCCTATGATGATCTTCTTACTAGGTCAAAAAAGTATACAATGCAAGTTGCTCGTCAGAGAACCCTCAGTATTGAAGTATTCAAGACAATTAAAAATTTGAATCCAACTTTTATGCAGAGCATTTTTTCGTTCAAGAACTTTAAAACATCCTTCTCGGAATCCTAACTTAAAGCCATAGGACCTCAGATCTGAAACTGTCTGCCAAATGAACTAAAATCAGCTGACAATCTTAAAAGCTTAAATCTTAACAGCTGATAAAACGATGGGATGGTCCTAGCTGTAACTGCAACGTTTGCAAATATAATTATATCGATATCGTGTAAATTTTGTCCATTCATATCCAAGTTGCTTCAAATAATTAGCTTATGTATGTACGTGTTTATTTCCTTAGTTATTTCCTCTTAAATTTGTTGTACAGTAGATTCGATTTAGATTAATTATCTGTGTATATATCCATATATATATATGTATAGCTAGAAGCAATATCGAATTAAAATAAGGTTACAAACTAACTAACTAACTAACTAACTAACTAACTAACTAACTAACTAACTAACTAACTAACTAACTAACTAACTAACTAACTAACTAACTAACTAACTAACTAACTAACTAACTAACTAACTAACTAACTAATAAGTTCTGATAAAAGAAAATCAGTAGGGTAGCAATGGTGGTAAGAGTAGGGGGGGGGGTAAAGGCGAGTTGAGCATTGCAAAAACTGGACTCCACACCCTTTGGAGTGCCAGAAAGCGCCCTTTTTCAAGGGTTTTTGTCATTGGGTAGGGGAAGGTCTGCCCCCTTTTGCCCCCTCCTCACTCCGCTACTGAGAACAATATGTTTAATAGATTACGAGAGTCTTCCTTAAGTTTCAATCCTTAAGATTTATAGCGTTTGCCAAACCACTACAGCCTCAATCAGCACCATCATCCTCATCTTTATCATCATCAATCAATCAATCAATGAATTCTTACCCCCAGCTGGGGAATGTTATACAATATAGAAAATCAAGTAAAACTTTTTACGTCAACTAGTGACAATTTAGAGTTTTATAAGCATGACAACGTAAAATAGACCAAAACATAACACTGCAACACGGCTTTTAAGCAACAACTTCAGCAACAAATGGGGTTTATTTTACAAAAAATTTTGGCATTTTCTTTTATAGTTTGAAATTTCATCCACAAATTTCGCAACATGAGCTACCAATTGCGGGTTATTTGTCATTTCCATGAAGATTTCAAACTTGTAAATAGATTGGTAATCATATAAAAAAAACTCTCAGTCTGTTCTTCCCCCCAAACAAAAAGAGGCTAGGATAACACTGCCATTATCTTATAATGATTTACAGTCAAGGTGATAATGCATTTTCTGAAGACTTGTCGATGCCTCCTTCTTATAGATTTACTCACAACTTACAACCACAGTCGGTTATGATGCCGTCGCAATCAGAACATTTCAATAAACGACTTTAAAACTTTTTCGATAATGGACAGGAAAAAATGTTCCTCCCTTAAAGAGACCATTTTCCCAAAAAATTCGTTGCAACCCCCTTGGTGCCTCCATGTTTTGTTATCTTAGTAAACGTTTAGAGCCCTTTCCTTTTAAATACTTGTGAATAACCTACCTAGAAAAGCAATTGTTAAGTAGGGAAAAGAGCAGCGCCTCATTTTTCATTCTAACAACCTATTCCCCCAGTATCTTCGAAACGCCCTAACCCCGCTTGCACAACATTTGGATTTGAAATCTACGCAAAAAATTCTTTCAGAGAACCACACCAGAAAAAATCTCTCAGCCGGTGGCAATACACCTCATTCTCTCTCTGGGCTATAGGACTAGTTCAGTAGATGTCTATCCAGTTTGTAATCTTCCTTGACAAAAACTCCTTTATGCACTACTACCAGGGGCGTCGCGACCAGGGGGTGTAAAGAAGTGTCACACATCCAATAGTATCTCAATAGGAAATCTATACACCCCCCAACTTCAACTATATTTAGATGTAACCAGAAGCTTTAGAACAGTAAATATACTTTCTATATATTGAGAAATGTGCTCTTATTTTTACTTATTTTTAGATTACTTGAGGTTTTTCGCATAGAATATTGTATATATTGTGAGATTAAAGCAAAACAATGTTCGAAAATTAAAACTAAATTGTTAAAAATGCTTTTTCTGCCTACTCTACCCGCTGACGCTATCAGTTTCTCCGCTCCACCATCAGTTAAATCTTCTAGTTTTAACTGATCGTGAAATTACCTTGGCCTTTTCAATGGAACTTGAGCTGGAGGCCCAAGCCAGGTCCCTTTAAAGGTAATGTGTCCATATAAAAGGACTGCGTATACCCAACTTGTCAAGCCACCCATCAAAATAACGGTTTGCGATTGGTTAGCATTCTTGCGATGCAAAACTGCTCACATGAAAAGCTGACCTCGCAGCAGGATAGATAAACAGAACGACCGTAATAGCTGGGGCGATGAAGAATCACATGTTTCTAAAAACCCCCGCAGAGTCGCTTGCTTTAGCTGGACACATTACCTTTAATAAAAAACGATACAATAATCTACCGTGTGAAGCAAAGAAAGGTCTGTTGGGCTGATGGGAGGGCCGTTGCGTCCAAGGTAGTGTGGCAGAGAAGTTGTACGTAGCATTTCATAACCCGCGGAGCAGTGGGAGCTTGGGGACTTTAGCAAAAAAATGCAAAATTTAAAGAAATGAGCCACCAATAAAGCCTTTTTTTAATTCAATTTTTGCCCCCGCACCCACTTTTCACGACTCATCGCGGTGCCTACATTAATTTTTTACATCAACATTTCAAGCGAAATCAATACACCTCGTTGAGCGAAATGTGGGGGAGGATCGAAAAAGAGGCTACTTTGCTTTGCTTTGACAACAGAAAGTTAAAATGGCGTATTAGGAAGGTTAACATTGCTGAACAACTTGGCGTAATTTGTTTTCTTTGTTGCATTGATCGACATGCTTATCTATCTTGAAAGTAAAGTTTTTCCAGTAAGTATAACTTGTGGTAGGATGTTGTCGTGTTATTCTGCAACCTCAAAATTCATATGCTGACCTTTTCCCTGGAGCCAAATTTTCATTTCATTTTTATTATCATTTTTGCCATCGCCAATCTATCCTAAATTCAATAATCAAGAAAGACATCCAACAGCTGTTTAAAAACAATACAAAAGCTAAAAACCAACAAATACACGAGAAAAATTGTCCTAAAAGTCACAAATTTTTCCAAGGTTGAATCCATCAGGGATCCACATTAAGCCGAAGATATCCGGCGTGTACTACATAATTTCACATTATTTAATGGTTAGGCAATCATGGCCAAATGTTTCCCTACTATCCAGGCCGCTGGACTTCTCTTTTAGCAAATATTGTTGGATGGGGATCCACCTCATAAGCCTATCTACACAGGCAATTTGTCGCCCTTGTAAAAATTCCTTCACAAAAAGGCCTGGCACAACTGATTTTTAAAACATTTTACAACTTACAGTTTGACAGGGTCTGGTTGGTGGAGCCCCCTTAATTCTTTAGCCTCCTCCTGTCATATACTGGCATTTGTGTGTGTGGCCAAATGCAGAATTTAGCTGACAAGGGGCTACAAACAATTGATTCTTTCACTTTCATATAATGAACCCCCTCTACCCCTAAGCAAATCTGCAGAGCATATCAGTTCTTGACAAGGTCTGATGTGTACAAGAGAAAATAAAAAAGTGTATGTATGCAAGTTTGTAAACAGAGTGTGCAATCTTGTGGGTCCTCATGTCACACTCTGGACACTGGCCCCAAAAGCATCCCAATGAAAATCAATGTTATTTTACCAGTCACAAGACTTTTACATGGCCAAATTAAGTTGCCTCTGATGCCCACTTTGCCCTTTAACTAAAATGTTATCAGAGACTGTGCATGAGTTCTATGACATTGAGTGTTACAAGGAGTGTTATACCATTGAGTTATTTATCAGTTGCTTATTATATGAATAAATGAATTCAGACTTCAATTTTTACCTAAAGATTGTTTTCGATGAGGCATCAAAGTTTATAGAGAGAGAGAGTGAGAGAGAGAGAGAGAGAGAGAGAGAGAGAGAGAGAGAGAGAGAGAGAGAGAGAGAGAGAGAGAGAGAGA